ATCTCACCCCGTGGGGTCAAAATGATCACAAGAACGGTGAGTAAAAATCCCAGAACCACACGGGGGGGAAATAGAAAGTCATGAAAAAAGCAACTCAAACATTTTTAAAGGCTAATGCACAGACATATTAAAGTATATGGCCTCAGTCATGCATCATCTACAAATAGGAAAATACTGCAGCATTAACAGACATGAACTTCTAATTCAGTCTTGATGTGAAATTTTGAAATCATGTGTAATATGCAATTACCATAACAATGTAATAAATACATGTATATTACATTTACATCATAAATTTAACCCTTTTGGCTCATCTGCTCCATTAACAGATTAATTTTATTGTGATGGTTTTGTATAATATGTTATATTACATGATTTATAGAATTCATTGACTTCACATTTGTTTTATCATAAGTTAAAGTATTTTACTTATGGTATGAAACAGCAAAGGGGGGTCAAAGTGATGAATTTATAATTATTTTAAAAGTCTTAAGCCCCCCTGAAAATGAGAACATCATCGACGTTCGATGCTTTGTTTACATTGAGACCGGTCTAACTAGGGAGTACCAATATGGCGGCCGGTGGCTTCGCTTAAACCACGTGCTGCCAACGGGCAATCAGCAATCCAGGGAATAAATAGAGATCAGTGGTTGTGACATGTGCAGCTCAGCTGGACCGGCCTGGAGGCGGGGCCTAAAAGGGTCCTCACTTTGCTAGTATATGAAAGATATGTTGCCACTGAGCTGCAGCGTCACACAGAGACGGGAGGAAGTCCAGAGACACCAACAGCCAAGCAGCTGGAGTCTTTAGAGGCTGGAGAAATGATGCAAACTCCATGCAGGAAAACCGCAGCCCAGAGTTTAAACCATGCATCATTTTATAGATAGTAGATCAGGTTAGTCAAAGGTTTAGTTTGAAATGTGGAAACACTGCTTCTCTCCTCACACGATGTTCCCTGATGGTAAAATGATGGAACTCCCATTCATGATTCTGGAATCAACCTTTGAATCCTGGAGGTGAGCTTTTTATATCAGCAGCCTGTTTTGTGTTTTTCCTCTCAGGCTGAAGGAGTCCCGCAGACCTTCTCCTCCTCGATGCTCTTCCATCTTTCTGCAGACCAGACCAGCCTTTCCAGGGATGTCAGCTTCTCCTTCCCACCAGGTGTGGTGGAGGGCAGCGAGCGCGTCTCGTTGACGGCCATCGGTACGTCATCATCCCGTCACGTTTGGGTCGAATTCTTTTATCGATTTTTGAAAACCCATTGGTTCCATTTCTAGTCTCCAATGGTTTGTTTTCAATTTGTAAATAAAAAGAGAGAATATGTTTGTTCAATACCAGGAATAAATTCAGAACTTTAAAATGGAGGCAATGGAAAGCTAGAACCATGAGGGCGCCCTGAATAGAAACCATGAGGGCGCCCTGAATAGAAACCATGAGGGCGCCCTGAATAGAAACCATGAGGGCGCCCTGAATAGAAACCATGAGGGGGCTCTGGATAGAAACCATGAGGGGGCCCTGAATAGAAACCATGAGGGCGCCCTGAATAGAAACCCTGAGGGGGCCCTGAATAGAAACCATGAGGGGGCTCTGGATAGAAACCATGAGGGGGCTCTGGATAGAAACCATGAGGGGGCCCTGAATAGAAATAATGAGGGGGCCCTGGATAGAAACCATGAAGGGGGCCAAATTGAAAACCTTGTTGGGGCCCCAGAATAAAAACCATTAGGGGCCCCCGAATAGAAACTGTGAGGGGGCCCAATTAGAAACCATTAGGGGCCTCAGAAAAGAAACCATGAGGGGGCTCCAATTTCAAACCATTTTAGGGCCCCAGAATATAAACACGAGGGACTCCTGAATAGAAACCTTGAGGGGGGCCCAATTAGAAACCATGAGGAGGCACCAATTTTAAACTATTATGGGGCCCCAGAATAGAAACCATGAGCTGGCCCTCAATGCGCTCATTGAATGGGGTTAGGATTAGAGCCATAAGGGGGCCCTGGATAAAGATTCCTATGATTATAACAATGATGGGGCCCCAAATGCAAACCATGAGGGAGCCTGGAATAGAAACCATTAGGGGCCCCAGAATAGAAACCACAAGGGGGCTCCAATTTTAAACTATTGTGGGGCCCCAGAATAGAAACCATTAGGGGCACCCGAAATAAAACCTTGAGGGGGGCACAATTAGAAACCATTAAGGGCCCCTGAATAGAAACCACAAGAAGGCCCCGAATGGAAACCATGAGGGGGCTCCAATTTCAAACTATTTTAGGCCCCCAGAATATAAACACGAGGGACCCCCGAATAGAAATCTTGAGAGTAGCCCAATTAGAAACCATTAGGGGCCCCAGAATAGAAACCACGAGGGGGCTCCAATTTTAAACTATTATGGGGCCCCGGAATAGGAACCATGAGGAGGCCCCACATAGAAACCATGAGGAGGCCCCACATAGGAACCATGAGGTGGCCCCACATAGGAACCATGAAGTGGCCCCACATAGGAACCATGAGTTGGCCCCACATAGGAACCATGAGTTGGCCCCACATCGGAACCATGAGTTGGCCCCAGATAGGAACCATGAGGTGGCCTCACATAGGAACCATGAGGTGGCCCCACATAGGAACCATGAGGTGGCCCCACATAGGAACCATGAGTTGGCCCCACATAGGAACCATGAGTTGGCCCCACATAGGAACCATGAGTTGGCCCC